TGCATTAGCTTCATCAAATGCTCTACAATCAACGATATAAAAGTCGCTTTTACTTTCATCAGACATTTCTGCTGATCCCGTCCCGCTCTAAACTAGCTTTTGTCCCTCGGCTCTTGCAGGTGGAAACGCGGTAAATAATAGATGAGATTCGTGCCAGTTCATTACACAGACGTCTGCTCTTCTTTGGAGTTTGCTTTGCTGAACATGTTTCGGGGTGATTTTCAACTATCTTTAATCATGTTAGTCAGTAATACGGTTCTTACATTTTCATTGAGTGGATGCAACATACAGATCAAATATTTACAGGAATTATACACACAATACAGTTCAAAAGTTTGGGATTTGTTAATGTCTTTGAAAGAAGTCTCTTCTGCTTATCAAGGCTGCATTTATTTGATCCAAAATACAGTAAAACAGCAAAGTTGTGAAATATTATTACAATTTAAAATAGCAGTTTTCTATGTGAATAGCTGTTAAGATGTAATTTATTCCTGTGATCAAAGCTGAATTTCCAGTCTTCAGTGTCACATGATCTTCAGAAATCATTCTAATATGCTGATTTGCTGCTCAAGAAACATTTCTGATTATTATCAATGTTGGAAACAGAAAAGTTTTATTTCATTATTTGATGAATAAAAAGTTCAAAAGAACAGCATTTATTTGAAACACAAATCTTTTGTAACATAATCTATTTAATGCATCCTTGCTGAATACAAGAATTAATATTAAGTAATTACTGAATATTAGTATTATTAATGTTCCTGACCCCCACATTTTCAAACTGTATTTTATATTTAAATATTTTATACATGCATACATGTGTATGTGTATGTGTGTATATATAATAAAAATTAAATAAAAAATGGCGATTGTGGAATAAAATGAGAATTTTCCAACTTCATGGTTTGATGTTAATAAAGCATTCCAGTCATTAGTTTGTCTGTTTCTTACAGATTAAATGGCGCTGATGGTTTCTGGTGTTGCTGCAGGTGTTATAATATGATGAAACGGTGATTTAAATGAGTGTCATCAACGACCCCTGATTAACCTTAATCACTTGGTTCGTTTGGAGGAACCGTTTTGTCCTCTCCGGTCAGAAAATGTGCAATGAACGTCTGACTTTTGCTTTATTCATTGTGACAGCCGAGCAGAGATGGAGCTTATTCTGAATGAGGCTATTACTCTTTAATGAGGGCCGTATAAGAGGTCGTTAGGATAGGTAATTCAGTTTTAATGGAAACCGGGAAAAAACTTGAGAATTTACTTTGAATTTACAACAGTGAAAAACACTTGTGGTGTTTGACCAATTGGATACACTCTGTTATGCGATGTTGTGTGTGTGTGTGTGTGTGTTTAGTTGTCAGTCAATGTCTTCTGACGCACATGTTTAGCTGTCGCTGCCCTAAATAGTCAAGTCAAGTCAAGTCACCTTTATTTATATAGCGCTTTTAACAATACAGATTGTGTCAAAGCAACTGAACAGCATTAATTAGGAAAATAGTGTGTCAATAATGCAAAATGACAATAGTAAACACACATTTTTCAGTTAAAGACAGTTCATCATTGAATTCAGTGATGTCAACATCCAGCTCAGTTTAAATAGTATCTTTGCAATCAAGTCAACGGTATCGCTGGAAATGAAGTGTCCCCAACTAAGCAAGCCAGAGGCGACAGTTAGTATTTAACTAAATACTAAAATAGGCTAGTTATTCTGCTCTGAGGCTAACTGGCTGTGATATAAACATTAAACCTCAGGTTTGTTTTGCTTTAGTGAACCCATGATTCAACAGGACTGAACAACAGCTCTAACTAGAGTTTACAAATGAGATCTCAGTAATATCTCAAGCATTAAATGCTGTAAGCATTAAAATCATAATCTGGCTATTAGCTTTGGCATTTCTGATGTGTATGTCGGTTCCGTCGGGCTCTAGAATATCCCCATCTTGAGTTTGGCTGTCCTGATTATGAGCGAGACTCTCCGGGCGACTGGATTTGGGTTCGCCGGGCTCCACCTGTCTGATGGCTCTATCCATCTGGCTGGCTCAGCACTTTCACTTCCCGTGCTGCCAATGCGCCGCGGCTCCTGCAGATGTTGCTCTCTCGCCTGGCGCACCTCGGCGCCCCACCGTTCAGTGGTTTTATCATGATTTACGAGGAACAGGTAGCGTTTATGATGCCGTCTGATCTGATTTAGCCTGCGCCGCTGAGGTGTACGGATCCACATCTGCAGCGTGGGACTCGGCTCTACGGGTGGCCAGCGAATGCAGCTACTTAAGAGGGATTTAACGGGATTTTCAGGCTTATTGGTGTCAGTCTTTATGGTCGGCTGTAGGTAAATGGACTCTGTTGTGATGCACTCAGAATATTAATGCTTACACAGTAACTGCCTGTTTGATATTGAAATTCTGTTATTATTTACTTGTTGTTTTAAATCTGCATGAGTTCTCTGGAGCACAAAAGTGTGGGCGCATGATTTCCGCGATACGGAAAACACAGACGGAATCAATTTACTGTGTAAAACGGAATGTCAAGGAATTTGTCAGATTTTGTCAGTACACGGCGATATGGACTAGTGTCTGTGAATATTAAACCGCAAAAAGACTGTTTAAATATGAATCCTGCATGTTCTGCGTGTCTCTGCTTGAATGAATGGCGCTGTTCTTTACGGCAACCCGTCAAAATAAAAGTCTGGTTAAACTTGAAGAAACTGTGACAGAAATATATCACTATTTTACAGTAGAATGTCTCAATGTATTAATAATAATAATAATAATAATTTCATAGAGCACTATTAATGTAATGCATAAATAAATAGTTGTTTTTTATGAATAAAATAAATTACACATGCTCTTTGATTATTAAAATCGAATCCACAAAAATTTAAATGGAAAACAGAAAATTTGGTAAAAATAAAACAGAATTTGAGGGGAAAATAAAATGTATTTCATAGGGCCCTATATTTTTATTACATTTTTTTTTTTTTGCATAATAATTTTCTGCATATTTTTTTTATAATTACACATGCTTTCTGATTACTAAAATTTAAATTGACTATTAAAACGGAGTCCAGAAAAATGTAAATAGAAAAAAAAGGAATCCAAAACAATTTAAACAGAAAAAAACACAGAATTTGGGAATAAATAAACAAACATTTGGAAAAAGTAAAACGTATTTCATGGGGCCCTAAAAAGGAGATATTTTGAAGGCTGTTCATGTTGACTTTTTTATCCACCTGTTTCCTAACAGACTTTACTGCGTTTTAAATTATGGAAGGCACTTCCAGTTTGAGGAAGTTCCACTTTGTATTCCGCTGTAACAATTTGAAAAAGACAACATATCTGCGCATTTGTGGTCTTAATGTACGCTCTATCTCAAGAATAATTCACTGAATGCACTAAGAATCTCTGGTTTTTCTCTTTAAATCCTCACGTCTCTTTGCAGGTTTGTTTTCACACGGATGCTTTAAAATTATCGTCTCCCATTTTCACTTCTAATCCCTATTAGTAGCCTTTACTGTAAGGTTTCTAAAGCTGGTCAATACAGTATTTATAATGTCACCTCATAGTATCAAGTTTATGAATATGCTTGCGTTCATAGAGAAAATCTTTGGCTGATTGTTTACAGTTTGACAGAAGTTACTTCCATTGTTCATGCAAAGCATCATGGGGCAAAGATGGATACAGTGAAAATGTGTGAAGAGGACAGATGCTGTTAAGCTCCAACAAATGACCAAAAAGCTCCATAAAAACACCAAAGTGATAATCTGAAGAGCCTGTTATGGCTATATATAATAGTGTTTTTTGTCCTGTGTTGAGATTGTATGCAAATGAAAAGGTTGCTAAACATCTTCATTTGTCTTCCACGAAAGAAAGAAATTCCTTTAGGACACGAAACATTCATTTTTGAGTCAGTTATTGTTTTAAAACCATAATGCACAGAGTTAGATGCGATATTGAAAGTTACAAAGAGAATTTACCTAATGAAAAGATCAGAGTGATGTCTGATGACGACTACAAGCAGGTTTTTAACAGGATTTTACCGCGGAACAGCTTTATCCTCATTAAGATGTGTAGATAAATGAGCATAACTTCACACCAGCATGAAGGAGAAATGGGGAAAAAATTGTCTGTTCCAAAGTCTAGTGAGCTGCCTACCTAGACAGCACGTTAATGCATCGTGGACACAGACTTAATTACATAACTTTGCTGCTTTCTTTCTGAAATTTAAGACAACATCACACTCTGAAAACAGTCCCAGAATGCATTGTGACAAACCCTTTGTGAATGTATTTAATGGTCGATATGAATTAATGTGAATAATTATCTAATTGATATGTATATACTTATAAAATAATATACTATATATATATACAGTGGGTACGGAAAGTATTCAGACCCCCTTAAATTTTTCACTCTTTGTTATATTGCAGCCATTTGCTAAAATCATTTAAGTTAATTTTTTTTCCTCATTAATGTACACACAGCACCCCATATTGACAGAAAAACACAGAATTGTTGACATTTTTGCAGATTTATT